TGTCTACCGTATACTCCTAAGGGTATCCCTTGAAACCTTTCACTATGATGGAGGACATCGTTCACAGCATTTCTTTCTTGGAATTGCTGATTGACACATTCCCTAATACAAGCATTATGTCGTTAATGGTGCGAGTTTTCGTCATGCCTTTCGTTAGTGACATTACGTTTTCGTCAAATCCAATATCTAACCTTCCTATTCAAAAATATTTTTTGAAGACTTCTCCTAAAACTTGTCTCCCACTGAATATTTCATTGTTCTGAATCAAAGTCAAGGTGCTCAGACACAGCGTTATCCTCACCCTTTTCTCTCTTCATTCTTACGCTGGAAACTCGAGTTCTCTTCTAAGTTATTCATTCTTTTGGAAGCAGTTCCAATTTTGGTTTGAATCCGAGTTTGGGTTCCTCATCCCAAACAAGTATTGTACCAACTGATTGCCCCAGTAATGCACACCGTACTTAGCCCAAGCAGGCGGCATGAAGTTCAAGATATATTTGTAAATGCGCCATCCTTAGCACCATCAGCCACCGCCATCTCAGACTGAAAAGTCTTTGGATCCCAAAACTCCAGAAAAAATGCAAAAATTGAGGCAAATTACTTGCGCAAGACAAAACCGGCCTGAAAAATTCGCTATTGCGAGTCTCGCAATGTGCTCCATAGTAACCTACAGCGTTAGTTCTGTGGGCAAATATTCTGAAAACTTTATAATTAATAAACAGTGGGATAAATGATAAAGTCTCCAACGTAAATCAGTCCGGGTTTTTGAAGCGCCCCTCATACGACTTTCATTCAGAAACGAGAAACGTAGTAGCCGTTTCAACCCGTGTATGACCTATACAACGAGTTGCGGTGGCCAGATGATGTACGTCCGGTGCGATCCCGAATAACCGACCTCAGAGGGATGGATTAAGAGATTGTCCCAAACAAGTATCGACCCTAGATTTCAACCCGAGACCATGCGTGTGTGATAGGGCATTACTTGCCACTACAAGACCTCTGCCCAATAAATAAAAAATATTACAATTTCTTACCAAACTTTGTAAAATAGGTTTTTTACAGTAGAAACGGGTTATTCGGCCGACGTTTCGGACCAATCGAAATCATCAAGAGCCCGAGAGTGGTGTGAAGTGCTTGGTCCATGGCTCACCCGGTCAAACGCTCTAACGAGCTAAGCCAGTTAGGACATTCATTAGAAACACGAAGGCAGAAGATCCGAACGAAGTGCGAACCTTTCACGTCTAGACCCGAGCTGCCTTTCCACCGGAAAAGAACAACAAGGTTCTGATGAGAACCCGTCAATAGTGATAAGATAGGGATTAAGCAGTCCATAAAAACACCATTGAACGCCAACAGTACACCACGCAATGGCTTACGTTTCGCAACGAAATGTTGGTGATTACATTTAGCCTTACATGTAATGAGCGTGTATCGTTCTTCAAAAGGTAAATAAAACTTTTGAAACCGGACATTCTCGGCGTATTGTGCTGCATGCTTCATGAAAATTTCTTGTGCTCCAAGACCCTCACCGTCTCAGAGTGAGTGGATTTATGGGATTTTTATGGTTCCCGTGGCAAGATTCTCTGAAGTCCAGTGAAGCAGATGCGAGGAGACTGCAACAGACGTGGTCTATTCGGCTCTACGCTGCTTTTTCTTTTTCGCTTTTCTACGAAGCGCTCAAAGTAGTTTGACAATACCCATTCATTACCTTGAATTTTTTTCAAGAGTTCCAAAATCTTAGGGGATATGCATCCCGGGGTGGGATGAAAATAATGCTAAATGGGTCGCACCTGTTTTCATATCAGGTCTTTTCGGCCCTCTTTAAGTGTTCTCTTGTGAAAAATGGTGGCCGATTACTCTTACTTGTTTTAATGGAAAGTATGAACATAAAGTTTGAAAACATCGGGGACTTGAGACGAGCGACGAGCCTTCCATTCTTCTGCACCGTGTTATCAGTGAATTGCATCATGGTAGTGGTCATCAAGTCTATACATTGAGTTGAGGGTGAGCTCAGCTCTCAGGTTCCCTTTCCAGTTTTTTTTTTCAACATTACAGTTGACTTTGAAAACTTCTAATGATATATCCGATACCGTCGAATTTACCATCAACCATTTGGTTATTTGTTATAATGATTCGACCGATCCATTCTATGACTATGTTTTGCTAATGATTCCACCTTGAACTGTGGCCAAAAATAAGAAAAAGCTAATTCACACTTCGAGTTTACGAGAGCGACTAATAACCCTATAATAAAATTCAAAAATATTTGCATCTATGCATGGATCTTATTTATGTGTATATCCTGCTTAGATGAAGTGAATATTTTTCTTCTGATTTGTATCACACTGATGAGAATGAGATGGCCACTGAAGTTTGCGGGTGTGTGTCAAGTCGTGCGTCCGAGGGGGCGCGCGGCAAATTGCGCGGCGAAGTTCGTGGCGAATTCGAGNGACTCCGGCGCCTATCATTTGGGCCAAAATCTGAAGTAGGGTAGATTAGTAAGGTCAGCTGATCCTGCTATTCTGCTGTACTTCAAAATTTGGCCAAAATAATAGGCGCTAAAGTCGTCAGAATAGGTACGAACTCCGCCTCGCAGTTTGCCGCGTGCGTCCTCGGACGCACGACTTGACCGTCCCCCGAAATTTGCGAATGCTCGATCAGTGTAGTCTAAGCACTTTCACCAGAGACGGAACAATTTCGCTAGCAACTGCTGAAAAGTCGTGTTCCGACCAATCACATCCAGTTGGAAGTGCAGTTAGCATAGTGACTGAGCCCTCCCAAGGAGTGGTTATATGAGAAGTCCCACCATACTGTTTGTATCTGTTGGTCAAGAATTGACGTCTTGGAAGTGATGGAGAGTCCTGACATTTGGCGGAGACCATTTCAAAAAAGTAGGCAGGATGAATAGAGTTCATGGAAATCATGGCTGATCTGGATACGAATTATTTGTGCACCTTTTGTGCGGGCCGAAGCAGGCGAACCAGTTCCGTATGAAAGTGAAAACCACTTTGCAACGTTTTGAAGGCCCGTTGTAATATCCTTGGGGCAAAAATCGAGGCATATGCATGGTAGATGCGTCGTGCCAACTGCGATTGACTAGATAGTTAGAGAGTTCAGTTGAGGCCTGTAACTGTCAATGATATTCGAAGATGCAACCATGTTCTGCTTGCGATGCAACATCTGCCGCTTTTCTGGCCTGGCTACCTGCAGTGTCTTGTTTGCGTTCCAGCGGGCTATGATCACCCGATGCTGCCGATTCCCGTTTGCCTACCAGAGAATCTTTATCATTTATATCACCTGAAACCTGTAACTATCAATGATTTTTCAGATCGAGAAAACTGAATTTTTTTCGGCATGCTTCCCTTTGTTCCTTCTGTAAGGAATGAAAGGGACTCCTCGCGGAACATTGCATAGTTTTCGTCATCTTTACGTCGCTTCTGCGGACATAAGAAAAATTGGTCCGGATATTCAATGTGTACAGTAAATCTCCTTGATTACAAATGAGTTGAAAGTTGCCCNCCCTGAAAAACGAAAAATGCTCCTTGAAGTTTAAATGCGTCTAGGGCTCCATTCAAGGATATTCTTATATGCCTGAAGCATTGGAGAGGAACCCCTTCTGGTGTACACGTACATCCTTAAAATCGACATGAAATGTGTGATAACGACTTTCTGTAACCCTTTTGTTCCAAGAGTCTCATCCACCCTAGGCTGGCTACATAGAGTATGTGTGTCACATGTAAGGCCACGTTCGCTAGATTTAGGCAATCTGGAAGGTGGAAGTTTGAGAGGGGATAAAGAGATATTGCAGAAATCTGATGACCATTAATAGAGGCGACAAGCATCTCGTTCACTTAATACCAGGCTGGAAAAGGAGGAAACGGGAGAAGCAGCTGCAATGTCAGCTGAAGCTTCGACAGCTTCAAGAACACAACAGCATGTCTCTGACGGTGCTGCAATCTCAGATGGAACAGAAGGTCGTCTAAATATTCTTCTAATCTTTTTGACCCGGTCTCATGAAATATACTTCATGGAGTACTGTTACGACTAGCCAGGAAAAGCGGTTCTGGTCACTGTTCTGTAAGAGACTTACGAAAATGCATGAAGTGTAGAACCTCACCATTCTATAATACATGAAGCCCGTCATGGACGTGAAGAGAAGCGTTTGACATGGACTACAGTGCAGAATTACCTTTTTAACTCTAAACCATTATGCGTCATTCGGAATGGAAATACAGGGAAGTAAACTCGACAGTTGACAAATGCAACTCCCAGAATTCACCATGCTCGTAACCCTTATTATCGCACTGCTCGCGCTAGTGCTACCTGTATTTAACGTCATTCGTTAGCTTGGTTTGTAGATGGATGTAATGATGCAAATATATTGAAGAACGAGGCGTGTTCTTGATGCTTGTTCCTTCCTGACACACATTTCATGTTGACTTTATCACGCATATCCACATGGGAACTCAAAACATTCCACCAGACAGCTCCAGAGGTTTGTAGGTAGAAGGGATCGACATCAGAAGTACACCAAAAATGTTGTTAGAGTAGTAAACAAGGCCGAGGGTAGTCACTGTCGCATACACTTGTAGATTCTGCAGTGATTGCTGACAGAACCGACTCCACAGAAACTTGAAGGCATGGCAGGGACGGTAAATCAGTGGTTTGAAAGATTACGTTGGAAGATTTCTGATATTAGCGAGCGCAGAAGAGGATTCGGGAGTACTGTTACGACACTGACCCGGAGAATTCCTCAAACGACTGAGCTAAGGTAGAGAAAGTGAATAGTACAAATCTATATTTCCTCTTTCCCCTTCATTTACTAGCTTCCTCAAGATTCTGAAGAAATACATCCGTCCTATCATGCGGCCTGTAAAGGAACCATTTGTTTTATTTTATCAGACAACTGTAGAACAATTGGCGGAGCCTTTCCCCTTCCCTGATCACGACGTTCTCTTCTTTCGGTACTATGACAGCGTGTAATTATGCATCGTAGGTTTCAGATGCGATTACTGTGGTGCGTATTCATCGAAGAACCTCATACTCGTGTATGCTGCCTTCGAATTCCTAATCGACCGCTAGCTGCCATCTTCGCCACGTTTCAACTGACTGTTTCGCTCACTTCCCTGTTTCAGGTGAGAGGTTTAAAGAATTTCGGAACAATCCAGTATTACCTGCGAACTAAACCTTTTCAGCATGTGTTCTCGATTTACAAACATCGGAACGTCTTTTTGTGCCGCTCAGGCATCTCCGCAAACGCTTCCATCGAGGTATAAATGCTACATACAATAAATTCCTCTTGGGAAATTCTCGATGGGTTAGGATAAATCGTCCAAAATCTTTGAACCGCACAAATCCTGATTTTGAAAACCTCTGTCAATGTTAGATAGTTGGCCAAAATTCGTGGTATTGAAAGACTCTTCGAAGAAGTTGGCTGCCCGAACTAGTATGTTCGTGGGATCAATGACCCTTTTACACGGGTTCAGTGGATCCGTTTCCTTCCAGATGAACAACTAATTTTACGCCTAGCCAACTTTACTCCGGAAATTGTCTCCACTACGCAGTCATGACGCGAACTAAATAAATTGTGACTCTAACATGAAGTTGATGGTTTTCGTTTAAGGAAAAGTACATGGCTTATGACGTGATCATTTTCGACTTCGGTCTGATGCATCGAGTATTGGGAACGGAAGAATGCGTCGCCAATTATCTAGGTACTCAATACCTATATGTATTCAGATTATGGTCAGAGCAATACTTGTAGTTAAATTTACCTGCTTACATGATATACATACATAGTACAGGATAAATAGCCATCAGAAAGTGATGGAATCTGTATGCTTTAGCAGAAAAAGGAGGTGTTCGCAAGCATTCACTTTATATTACTGAGCAGAGGTTTCAGCGACTTATATTAACTGCATCTTTGTTCTTCGAAATTGATATCTCCTCAATGTTCTACCAACGCAATTCCTTCTTTGTCTAGTTCATGAAATTCTTCAGAGTGTACCGAAAACATTTTAGAAATAGTTTATATTCATCTTACCGTGCTTTAACACTACGAGAAAGGGTAGAATGTGCCACTCAATTAGCGATCTCAACAACCAGCAACGATTCCTCCTTAGTTAGCGAAAGACAACGCTGGGAACAGCTCGTACAATCATATTTTTGATGGTCCCAACATGAGGCACACTCTGAAAAAGGTCGATTAATGAACTCGGATAGGCAACGATGGCGCCGAAAAGCGAAAGAGTGCATGACAGCTCTAAAAATGGCCAAGGAGTCCTACGAGCATGGGTCTGTCTTCCGAAGAAGCCTTTCGAACTGTAGAAATAGGCCGTATAAGTTCATCGCAAAACGTCTTCCAACTACGAAGCCGGACCTTTCTGGATTTTCATCGATTAAATCCGTTTTATTGACCCGGCTCCAACCCTGAACGAATTTTCCTGAAAATGGTGGTTGGTTTCGATAACATACACGATTGCACATTACGCATTACACAACATAATTTTGATCCAATCACAATTTGCAATCCTCTGATCAGATAGATCTCACACTCTTTGATAAAATTTTATAAAATTAAATGCAATATTAAAGAGAAGTACAGGAGTTAGTTGTAACTGAATGATTCTACCGTGATCGACTTCTATGGACGTCTCCCTAATAATTCCTCATCAAAGTTGCTTTCTTGCTGAAAATAACGACCCTCGAACCATCTCCGACGACCATTTCAAGCGTTTCGACACAAGGGTTCATGGTTCACAAGGACCATCCTTGAATACCTGTAGAGAGCACATTGCGAACATCTGTTGGGAGGTAAATTTTCATGTCAGGCACTCAGTGATAGATGCCACTCGACATTCTTATTCTGGCTTTCTCCATCTCCACTATTTTCGGACTTTCAGATGCATTTCCTAAACTCAAATCACCTAATCACAGCAGATGTTACAATGAGTTAGTGGTAATAGTAAACAATCAACTCACTAAACTAATCAAAAGGTCTGAACGATTCTTGCATGTCCAAGGCAGCAATACGAGAAAACTTACAGTAATGAGGCGAAGAGCGTGGTAATTAGCAGGTATGGTAGCGTAAGAATTGAAAAGGTAATGGAATTTCTGGTAGATGCTTGAGCGTTGGTTATCGGATAGCCATGTGCACCTCTTGCCCATTACAGTTTCCAAGTGTTTTAATCGTGGAGTGCCTTCGAATGTCAGTGGACTCATTGAGCAACAAAACCGTATGCAGCAACCTATGGCTGTTGGGATGCTACTGATAAAAGTATCGACGGACGGACATCCAAGATGTCAAGATAGTGTCAAAATGTCTAAAGAATAGTTGCACCAGAAGGCTCTCATAACCTTGGTGCACTGATCTTTTGAAGTCAATTTTACCTCTCTATCAAACGGCTAATAGGTGCCCTGAGCATTTGTGAGCTTTTTTAAGATGACTTATGTACCTCTGAATGTGGGTGCAACTTTCTGATAGCGTCTTACACGAATCCCCTCTTAATGACTCGACATCTTATAGCTAGGTAAGTGCACAAGACTTGCGACAAACAAGGTATTTTTCCCCTAGAAGCTCTTAAGGTTATGATTCGATAAATTCTTGAGTTCAGGGTCTGATGATAAGCTAGAATCACCAACTTACTGACTTTTCAGTGCACTAATCAAGGGGGTTAGGGTGAAGTTAGGCGAATCAGGTTCGTATAATTCCCTTGGCCACACTTCGCGGTTTGTATTCTAGACGATCTTTTCTTCTGGCGAACACTCGCGTGAATATGATCATGGTCTGAGAATTCAAGCGAGTTTCTGTGGTGGGTCACCGTGACATCACTGAATAGGAGCTCGCTCGAACTGAAGCATAGGTGTGAGGGTCCACCAACAGCTGAGCAACACCTTTTTTTGTAAAACTGGCTTTTGTTCCTAGCTCTGTCGTTTGTCTTCTAGGCAGTAACTGTCTCTTCCTCATACAGTTAATATGGAATATTCAATGATTACCACAGATTTAAAGTGCAGTGACAACTTTGCCCAGAAGCGTTCCTAAGCGGGGACCGTGGAGCAAAGAAGCACTAACACAGCAGGTCTTGTCCCCTGCGTGGAGTTGATGAAGCACCCGAATTCTTTCCAAAAGCCTCGAGGTATTGATGTGTGCTGGCTGCAGTATGACACAACTCAAATGATCAGGTTGTTCACGCACGGTGGTTTTCGGATTCGCTTTCAGAGCTTCAACGCATTTTACATTAGCAGGGCTCTTATCTTGAGATCCGAGGCTTTTAAACCCGCAACCTATAGTACAATGGTAGTTGTCCTGTCTATAGGTGGATCGATAGAGTTTGGAACGCTGTTACGAACAAAATAGCAAAATGAACTGCCAGAGCAATTCATGAGCCGTCACTGTTCGGTAAAAGGCACAGGCGCATAGTGCAAGTTTCTCCTTATTTTGCTTTTACCAATGGAAGCCTTCAACTCCTTTTCTATTATTTATCCACATCTACCGTGCCAAAACTTCAGCTTACTCCCTTCACACTCAAACGGACTTTAGACTTTCGGACAAGATGCGCAGTTTGTGAGTAGTATGCTTGCCACTTTTTTCCGATCTGTTCCAACAATTGTGAAGTATCGGCACTGGAGTTTGGTTCGGAAGCGGTTTCTTTTCTTCTCTACAATAAAATTAAAATTGAAAAAAAAGATATGCAGGACCTGATTCTTCAGTAGGCGCCACCTGCGTAAATAGAGCTCCTGAACGGTTGGAAAGCCTTAACTTCTTGAAGCCGTCTTGCCCGGAAAGCTGCGCGAACTTTTGCGCTGTTTTAGAAACTTCGATCGAGGGCTGACTATTAGAGCTGCTTTTTATGCTAGCGGAAGTCGACACTCAACCAACAAATGAAATGAGATCTGGTGTAACATCCAAAAATCCGCTAATATCGATTCGATAGAGTTACATCTTATTTAATTATTACTCTCACACGTTTTTCTAATGTAAATAAAGGACGCTCAGGAGAAGCAATACGAAGGTTTTACGTCAATTTACTTATTTAGACGGAGGTTACATGCGCTTCGGTTGGTGCATAGAGCAGAGCTCTGCACTCATTATCGCCATCTTCTCTCTACTTTGCTGCCCAAAACCACTTTGGTTGCTTTGGCCAGGTACCGAATTTTTTTTCGCTTCACATCACGAACTATTTTTTACGACATTTTCTGAAAGATGATACTTTTAATAACATCGTTATAAAAATTTTCTGAGGAAATTTCGAAATTGTGTGGGAACCCCATTTAGACTTGTAGGAGTGTCCTATCTATGTACATTAGAAGCAGTGCACGCAGAAATAAATCAGTGCAAAGCAATAAAATGTATGGGGCCAATCAAGCTTGTCTCATTGAACTGCGCATCTAACTTCAATTTCAAGACGTTTATGCATTCAAGCCGTTCAATGGTTCACAGGAGTTATCAAATTATTGCATTTGTGTATTTCCTCTTCCAATCACCTATAAGCTGTTCCTTTCCACAGACATGCAGTGCCCCTTCTTTATTAAGCACCAGCTCAACGTGTTCGATCTTTGGTCCAAAAGCTCCTCAAGGTTTTTCTCCCAATTCAGAAAGTCATACAATGTATCATTCAGCGCTTTTGGAAGTAAGACATTGTAATGTTTTCAGCCCTTCTTATTCAGTCGTCGTACTCCTTAGGATTAGCCGTGCTGACAATGGCCACAGCACCAAAGCTTCTCGAAGCCCTTGGCGGTCGCGTTGACTTGGCACTCACGCTTATGTTCAGCGCCTACTTCTTCGGGTAATATTCGTTCCTTTGTCATATCATTCTTTATACTTTACTTACTAATTAGAACTTGGGCAAATTCCTAAAGGCACAGTTCACTCTAATTTCTTTCGGGTCACCTAGTTTTAGAGGAGCATCGGAAGTGATAGTCCAGAATAGCGCGAAAGTTCTGAAGAAAACACGAAGGTCGCCGTATTTAGAGAATCATAAAAGAAGTGAAATTAGGGGCCGGACGAGAACTTTACGATAAAAACTGCGTGGAACGAGCATTTGGACGAGCTGTTCGAAAGAGCGCGCTACTGCATTCAACTGTCTGCAGGACGCTGCCTGCGTGTAAGATGTGGGTCCCGGTGCGAATGGTTCAACTTCTAGTGCTTTTCCAAAGCTCAAAAACTCGTCTGCCTGAAGCGTGTACGTCGGCTAAGCCGGTTTGGGGCTCCTACCACGTCCTATCCTAGCCGTTTTTTCGACCCGACAGTTGCCTCTAGGCTATCCTTGGGGGTCACAGGTTCATCCTAGGCAAAACTCTTAAGAACATTTCTAATGTGAACTGTGCCTTCTAAATAGAAGCCTTAATATTTCAATCATATCCTGTCACTAAAATTTTTCAGATTTTTCTTCAATTGGATTTTCACTTTCATCCTTTGGCATCACTACTGGCACCTCGAACGACTGTTTAGTACAACTGTTCCTGCTGAAGAGCGGACTAGGCTTAGCAAATCTCCACATCCTCTTTAGAAAAGTATGGTGCTAAAGTAATCAAACTGTAACCATCAATATCAACACGGGTTCTTATATTTCATCAGATATACATATGCCACAAAAAACTTCGAGCGGAAGTATCTCACGCAAGAATTTGAGACTCGTAGTATATGTTATACAAACAGAGTTTTATTGTGTCATGGCATTTTCTCCCAATTAACGGTCACCACTTTATAAAGATTCTGATCTGGGCTGCGCTCTGTCTTCGTTTGATTACATTGAATCTGTGCTCTAACTGCGGTGATATGTCGTAACAGATGAAACAGGCAGTAGATGATACTCATCAGGATCTTGCAGATGTTTACGATTCCGCAGGCACGACTGAACTTGATGGTGAAAAAACAACGTGAAAAATATCTCACATATTTCTTCAACGATATTGAGACAAATTCGAGGTGCTTGGTAAGTAGCAGAGCCTGAAGCAGCTGCCCTGGCTGTGTCCCAGATCCTCACTTCTGCTTCCTGGGCACAGTGCTCTTTACCCCCCGCACTACTGCAACTCATCTTCAGTTTCCATCTTCAACGAGATTTCGGCTGTTCCGTCAGCACCCCTCACCTGGTAGGACTTGCAGCCCATACAGACACTGGACACACTGGACACCGATCCTGTAATGCGTCTATGTAACATAATAAAAATGGTACCTACAAGCACAGGTGCAGGTTCGCGTCATCGCTGTTACTGCGACTGTGTGACTGTCAAAGCCCTTTCTGTTGCGCTAATGTGGAAAATAAGATGGAGAAATACCACACTTCCTATAACTACTCGACTCTCGAGATGTAAATTCATAATACTGCCGAGTGCCAGTATGCATAACCAACCTTAACCCATGAGTTGTGCATACTAACGGTAGACATATCCCTCTGAGTCGACAGCTGCCCTTCAAAGTTAAATGAAAGAATTTTTTGGTACGATCGAGCTTGCTCTACATACATCGCTGACCATTTTGGAATTGTATCCTGAAGATAATGAGCCAGGCTATGGAATACAGTAATGTGAGCAGTGAAGTCTTGACACCTATCCATGCGATGAAGGGCATTAGAAGCTGATAAAAAGTCATGGAGAGGATGAGTCTAGGAAGATCCCTTACGCCATCAACATTAATAATGCGTCCTTTCTACCGTAGTTTGGATTGTGATGGGTAAAAATCGTAGAAAACGGATGCCAAAGTAACCTTTAGTGAAGGGTAGGTTGCAACAGGAGTGATGAAAATTTCAGAAAAGAGATGAGAGCAGACATATGGGAATGAAAAAATTTGATTCATTTTTGTTAAATATTATCCTTCGACCGTTACATACACTCATGTTCATGTCTTCACAATTCATTGTAATGAACATTCGCTTATCGAAATAATAGATGATTAAGGAAAGAATGGAAAGACAAACGATTGAAAGAGGATTTATAAAAAGAGGGAAATACAGACAACAATAAAAAACACATCACTTTACTCTGGAAGGAGCAAGACAGAATGGTCCAAAAAAGCCGTGAAAAGCCAGAATCATGTGGAAGGATGAATCTGAGTTTACCAGTGCTCTTGAAAACTGTGCGAACGTCAGAGGTCCTCTCAATCAATGAAAATGGCGATGCGAAAGAACTATTCAGAGCTTTAAAACTCTAATGCGAGTTCAAAGTTCTGAAATAGCAAGCAGACAGAAATAAATAGCTAGAACCCGTAGTGAGAAGATGAATAGAAATTGTGAGCTCCAATTACCATCGAAAATCGATGAACGAAGGCAGTAAATTAATTTGTATGAGTACTGTTAGAAAAAACTTTGAAATTTGGAACAGATGAAAACAGGGCACACGTTGAAAACAGAATAAATACAGAGAAAACGTAGAGACAAAGCCTATCGATCACCATTGCGGCGAATTTCCAGTCGTCCTCAACGCTTTTGTTACTTTCTTTTTCTTGAATTTCCGCCAAAATCACCTAAAATTGCGTATATCATCGCCTGGAATACCGACAGAAGCTACAAAAAGGATTAAGACTAACAGACAAGTGTTCATGAATTTCGTTAAGTACAAGTAGTTGAGCGATTTGTTCCTCTGTGACCTGAATGAACAGATTTGTTGCACACAACTAATTCAAGTACTGGATAAAAGATGAATCGCGAAAAGATTCATAGGATATGGGCTATCGGTGAGCGAGAAACTACTATAAGGGAGTGAGACCCTACAGATTCCACTAGAACCGAACCCGACTTCTCCGCACCACTGCTAAGTCTAGTTTTCTGAGACCTGTCGATGTCTTATAGTAAAATCATAAGATGCAGAACTATTTTTCCACACAGCCTTACTGAATGAAAGGCAGTAATATAGCCACTATTTTGCTATAAGTCTTTTCCAGCAGTGTTTGTTACTCCCCATCTTCTACCCCTTGGCATCTTTCCTCGTCTCCTTTTTTGGAAACATACATAGTGTCTGCATATTTCTGCGGTTCATTCAGCTCCACATCTTGGTACTTTCTATTTAGCTTCTTCCTAAGCTACATAATCACGAAACTCGTGCAGGGCGACTTGTGCCTATTCCATCTGACATTTCAATACCAATGATTCCTTAAATTCCTAGAGAGCTTGAGTGAAACTAGGCCAATTTGAAGCCATCCCTAATATAGAGCATATTGAGCCTTCAGAGCGCCTGCTGGTATCCTTGTCCAGTACATTACCTTGCGGGTGTGAAACGAATGGCGAAAAGCACAACGACTCCAGTGTAGCACGTCTAATACTTTTAGAGACATTTAAATGATTTCCTAAAAGAGGCCATGTCATCAGTGATGGTGTCTGCATAACTTATGATTAACGGGTGGGAGAGAATGTTTCCGAAAAAAAANAAAAAAAACTCTAGCCTTGATCCTCTTCCCAAAATGTTGTGTTCGTGCAGCTCACCCACACCAATATAAGTCGTACCTCATTCAGTGGAACAACGGAGCGTTCTGGAAGCAGTCGAGAACCCTTTCGCCAAAGATGACGGCGCTGCTCAGCCGGCTGTCGCTGATCGAATTCGTCAACCATGGTCAATCTGAATAATATGTATGTTAGGCAACATACGGAAGAATTCCTGAAGTATCTACACCATAAAATTCAGAGCNCCAATATAAGTCGTACCTCATTCAGTGGAACAACGGAGCGCTCTGGAAGCAGTCGAGAACCCTTTCTCCAAAGATGACGGCGCTGCTCAGCTGGTTGCCGCTGATCGAATTCGTCAACCATGGTCAGTCTGAATGATATGTATGTTAGGCAACATACGGAAGAATTCCTGAAGTATCTACACCATAAAATTCAGAGCATTTTGCTTCTTTACCTACTTTGGTGGGACGGGTGTAGATATTTTGGATAGGATCGACTCGATGCAAACATTATGCTTGACAAGTTCATCGTCATCGCTATCCTCGCTTCCCATTTTCCCAGCTTTGGCTCTATATCCCGGCCGGTGCATCATGAGCAACCATGGCAGCCAGTTCAGCATCACGCAGCGAAACTGAAATTCTCAATAATGAAAATATGAAGTTACCCGGAAAGTTCAGTGGTTTCTCTCGACAAATAAGATAGAAAATCTCTCGAATGGGATAGGATATTTGACATAATTCATTGTCAAACATGCATCATAATATGTAAATATTATAATGTACAGCACGGAAATATGCCACTTCTTCTCTTACTGAGCGGTTATACTATCAAACAGAGGGCTACGACAATCGGATTTCGCTTACACTCCGAATACCTGATTATCTTAGCTCTATGGTGATTTCCATTCATGAATTTCATTCACATAATTATTTGTTGTCTATTAATTACTTGTAGTTGGGGGCTTAATTGCATAAAAAATATTAGTCGTCGTCATCAAGGACTTTACTACCTGGATGGCAACCGATGCCGATAACCCCTGCATACCGTCCACGGAACTCGACAGGGTAGTGTCCCAACTTTACCACGACAATTTTCGAGGCTTAAAACATTCTTGTTCTGGACCTGAAGTTTGTACCGGCACCAATTTCGCAAACTTTGCAAAATTGATGGTGGCTATGATAGAGCTCACGACCTTCTTCAATGCAGGAATGGTCCACATACTCAACTATCCATCCATTCGAAATGAGGAAGATTGATGTTCTTATGGAATCAGAGGTGTGACACGTAATTTATGCTCACATACTTTGCACATGCAAAACACATGATGGTTAGGGTTTGTAAGAAGTATTCCCATACCATTTCTCCCATCTCGTGCGAGTACGAGTTCCGGTGATGAAAGTTCAAAGCTAGCGTCGTGGCAACCACACAGCAAGCACATGTACACATACATAGCGCAAAGAACGCTCCTGAAAAGGGAAAGCCCGAAAATAGAAAAAAAACATTTTCCTGTCAATAGCAAGGAATATACAGTAATTGGCAAGGTAAACATTTATTTGAAGTGTGTGTAAAATTTCTCTCAATGGCAATTCGTTGGAAGTATCTCAAATAGCGATATGGGGTACAGTTGCAGAAAATGCCCCATGAAGGCAACAAACACAACTGTTAACTAGGCAGGCCGGCAAAGTCATTGGTTGATATAATTGTTCTGGTGGGGCACTTCTTGTACATGTGAAAGACGCAGATGACGAGATGACCTTTTGCAGAAGTCGTGCAAGTTCTCTCAGATGAATAAATCAAATTCAATAACCTTACCCCAGAATCGTTCTATGGGATCAAAGTGATTTTCTATGAAAATTTGAACTACTTAGAGAGACACCTGCCTGCCCTGAAAGCCAAACAGCAAAATCGCAGCGATTCCAATCTCGCAGGCTTGTAGGCATTTCAGGAGAATATTGGCGATTTGGCGATTCCCATATCACATGCAAACATTCCATTCCCTTTTACAAAGACGGATGTCTGACCATCTTACTCTTATTTATCGTGCATTGGAATATCTGCATTCAACGAAGACTGCAGTCAGTAACTACACATTCTCGTGGCCTCGTATAACATTATAGAGAGCTAATCATCCTCTACTTATCTTCTACCTAATGGATATTAAATGCTGATCGTCCCCTTAGCTTGCGCTGGCATGGTGACGCTAACCATTTATTGCTGTTAATTTATAATAGTACACCTCATTTTATTCAATCTGTTATAGGTTTCTAGGTAGCCTGGCTTCATTTACTGGGGGTGTGAACAATTTTTTTAAGGAATCTGCTAGTCCCGAGATGTGTCTGGAAAACGCGTGCTTCGCTCAAACACATATCATCCTTGCACACCCAGCTGTATATGTACAATAGCAGTGGTGTTCGGCAACTAGGAAAGGTCAGCTGAAAACCAAATGCAGTGCTACAACTTGATGTTTCTCGGTCCATCATTCCAATGCATTGCAGTAAAGTATCAAATACCTCAACGTACCTAGGAAAGGAAGAGCTTCCGATGTAGGTGGAGACATTTCAGCGACATAATTTTGAAAGATACAGATGGACAGCATGATCGTGATTTCTGTAATAGAGTCGTCAAGAATAGGAGGTGGATCCCCGCAGCTCAAGGTGAGTGGAAAAGTAACTGTGCAGTGCCGACGACTGCTTTTACTGTTTAGGCTGCTTTCAACTGTGATTTTCTAAGGCATGGGGTTCTGTAGGTGGAGCTTTGTTGTTCAACAGGACGTGGGAACGTTTTGAGCACACTCACGTAAAGACATTTTCTCTCCAGCATCAGGTGGTAGTGTGAAGCCGATCAATGTGAGCAGTGTGATCAATATACAAGGTAGAATGAGGTTGAATGCTGTAATTGGTTCAGTTAGTCACATAATAGGCCGCAAATCAAATAAAATAGCCCCGTACCATAGTATAGTACTCTCCTGCGAATTACAAAGGTGAAAACAATATCGTAATAGGGCTCTGGGCAGCACTGATAGTGCTGTATGTTTTGAGTAGCTGATGTGGCTAAATAATCGTGTGTTAATATAAAATACAATTTTTGCATGCAAAAATATTTTTTACTGTAAGTGATGTCTACCGCTGCCATCAAAAAAGATTGATGCCCTTTGAAAAGTTTCTGGAGGTATATCAGCATTAGGATTTTTACAAACAACAAGTGAGAGCAGACTATTGTAACCAAGTAGTCAAAGAATTAAGCTCAAACTTATGAATATGGAAATTTATGTAAGAGTCATTTACCTATAAGTTCCCATTCACCATTCGGGATGTAACTGGAAATGTCAAAACCGTTCTCATCCACTTCCAGATTGATCTTCGAGCCGTCAAAAGTCCATGAACCGAACTGAAATGCTGGCACTGCCAAGAATGTCCTTCGTCTGCATAAAACAAAGAACGTCTAGAAGATGAAGGCGGTTTATGAACGTCGATAATGAAATCCTTCTGTATGTACTAAAAATTTTAGGACTTCCTCCTGGATATCGCCTTAAGAGATTTCAACCACTTTTCTGTCCAATCTGCTCAAAAATACTAGGATCTGGGATGTAGATAAAGCATCCATAGCTTCCTAGGCTATTGCAGATCTTATTGAGACAGAAGTGATCCAACTTTTCGAGGTGAGTATGTAAAAACGCTTTATCCGGAACTGCCTTACCCCGATGGTATGAAATAGAGTGAATAGCAGGCTGGGTTGTTTCGAGAATCCAAGAAGTGACAGCACGTCTTTTCAGATTAGGTCCTTACCCTGAGGGATCCGAACTTCAGTAGGATCATTCTCATCTCTCACATTTCACTTTCATGATGAACACCACCACGAAGTAGTACATATTTGGGTTACACTAACTCTACAGTAATATTGAAACCGATCTCACTCAAAGATGGAAGACGTAACTATCTGATACCACTTATACAATTCCTTTCATGATCTTACCACATAGACGCGAGCATTTCGAATAATAATCTCTATCATGTCTCTCAGAAGATGCTACATCAGCTATCGTTGGACTCTTAACTCCGTCTTCATCTAGAGCGTAAATTTGGAAGGCGATATGACAATGCATGTTTTGACTGGGTTTCCTCATACCCCAGGGTTCCCTTCGCGCCACAAATATTGCAAACTGATTTCTGGCCCCAAGTCCCGGGGCAATTTATGCTTTCGTTGCTCTTATCAAATTTGCTTTTTCAGCAGTAGGCTTCCCTTTTACTGTAGACTTTTTTTCAACATACAAATCAGTCGTAAGGAAATTTGCAAAGTATCACGGCAAAAAATAAAAAGTGAACCTTGAGGAAGCATTCCTGTTCATCAAATGGAAACCATGCAACAGCGATTCGACATGAAATTCGAAATATACCTGCAATGCTGGAGATTGCAATAAAGTATATCGTCTTAGAGAATACAATTCTGTCACGTGATATCCTCATGGTCTTACCGGGTGGTATCCAATTCACCATTCCATCGGGATATACTAGTACATTTGACTGAAATGAGCTGTCGAATTGCGGATCGGCGCTGTTGTACAGAAGGACATCAGGTGTCCACAGTTGCGACTTTCTTAAATGTATTTTTATTTTTTCGCGGTAACCACTACAGTCATTTGGAGGTCTCAGAAAAATAGAATCAGAAGATGCACATCGCGTAAAACGGTCTTGTGATTTTTTATGCTGCTTATAAAGAGCATACATATGTTTTACTGGTATGGGTTTTCGGACAGGTTTTTTCTAACAAAGTTCGAGAAGAGCTTACTTAAACCTCAAATCAGATACTCCATCGTAGTCCTTTGGATTCCATTCTAAGGAGTAATCGTGCCATGACAGTTTCAGCCATGCATTCACATCAACAAGTTGATTCTTCTCGTCCTGAATGAATAAACTCTCTACTTGTGACTTGAACGCTGAAGGCCATTCCAACATTCCACTCTCTTCAATAACGCAATTTTCTTTTCTGCTCTTCTTTTTCTTCTCATAACTATACCTTTTTCATTGATTCACGCACTGAACCGTTTGAAAAAGGAAAAACTCCAAGCATTCCACTTCAAGCACAAAACAGGGAAGGCGAATTTGTGGTTGACAATTCTGTTTAAGTGCAGGTAATAATGAATAGTTTTGAACCGACACCCATCTCTCGTTTTGGGATTCGTTTGCAGAATCCAGAACGCATTTAATGCCTTTCTTGCTAAATTCTTCGTCCCTGCCCTAATTCGTACATTTTTCAAGGTTGCAGCCCTTGTTTTCCTTCATTTTATGTTGACCAATAGCTGTAACCTAGGTTGCCACAGCTCATACTTGCTAGCTCTTCTTTGATTCGTATAGCTAGTTGTCTTTCTTTCCCGCGGTATACTTTGATCCAGATGTCCGAGGCTTCAGTACGTAGATGACGCCTACCATGAGCAGTCCCCTGTTTTCCCGTTATTACATATGATACAATCATCGAGCACTCTTTATTAGCACTACAGCCGGTTTCGAACTGACTGTTCCTCGACGTTGTTGGGTAAGTTCACCCCTGGACAGCCCTGCGTGTCCGGGAACTTCTCCCTTGACACGGCGTTGCTCACGCCGCACCCGCCGCGTATCGCAGGATTGCGATGGCAGATTGGAGCGCGCAATTTGTGAGGTAGTGAGTCCTTTAATTATTTGAATTGGCAGACCGCTTTCTTCAATTTCAATGCAGTCTTGATCGCCGCTTACATAGGAGGAGTCATTTTAATTAATCAATTCTAATAAACATGAAAACGAAAAAGAAACAGAAGAAAAAACGATCAAATCCAATAAAAAAGGAAGGCAATCAACGAAAAATATTGCGTCCTATCGATTGGCGGGGAGGCGGGGTGAGTACGGTAATTGCAGTGACATTTGCCGCATGCCGCAAGGGAGAATGCCGCGATAGGGGAGAAGTTCCGTCGAGTTAAACATCATGATTTTGACGTTACTCAGTTCGTGCAGATACTCGTTGATGTTTTCTGCTTATACAACGATAGATCAAACTAGTGAAGTCCAAAAGATAAGTCCTGGGGCGTCAATCAATATTTGTGAGGGATGCGCCCACGCATTCGACTTCCATTCTAAATCGTAGTGGCGTATAGAAGGAATATGTGCCCTATACAATGACTTGCGGTGGCTATTCGATGAACAAGTCAGTGTTTTTATCCTTCCAGACGAGAGTGGTACCAATTAACACCCCGGAGGGATGGTAGGCTTGGTTGGCCTAGGCGGATGTTAATCCGGGATAAGAATTGAACTAGCTAAGTGCGCATGGAAATGGAATGCTTTATACATTTCGTGGTACATATTTGATGATGTGCTTAACAAGAAATTGTGATGCGTTGCTCTCGAAACGGTGCCTATTGGAAACTTGTGGAAATATAACAAGATGCGCTCCTTTCTCTTTCATTTATTGGCCATGCATTTCCCACTGGGATGAAATGACAGCCTTGACCATATTGCTGGATTCAGTGATCAGTTTGTCAACGCAAAGCAAACAAATTTTAATAAAACCTTGACACAACAAGTGTTTCCATAAACTCACGACGGATATGATCTGTTGCAAAACGAGGCCCATTTTCACATCCACCGGTAAGGAGCTGTTTGCCACAGGCCTTTCAAGCGGTTCATACTCCTCGAGTAGTTTAGCATAAAGTTCTCCTTCGCGAAAAGAAGCTCGTGTTCGAAGGAATTCTGTGAGCAATATCAGAGCTAGAAGGCTCTTCATGAATGCTGTATTAATGCACTGATAATGCTGTCATCTGGAACCTTCAATATAAATAAAGAACATTCAAAATCAAAGTTGATGGAAGTAGAGTGAGCTCAAGGGTTGAGTTGATTGTGTATGCCAAAAAGGGTGCTTTTCAAGAGCAAAATTCATCGAAGTCCTCTGTCGAAACAGGAATGAGAAGGCTACGGAAAGGACGTTGTCCCATCTTTTGTAGAAAAGTTTCATGATTCAGTCGCATCAGACGTGGGCCACCAAAAAATACAGAAATAATGGGACCAGGAGATGTGAGTTCAGTCCACAAAACGAAAAATTAACTTTCAATACTTTATTTATTGTAAATATCGCTTTTGTAGGCTGACCTACAGGTTATTTTGTGTTTCTTTTATTTGTTGTCAACAACATAAGATTAAACGCAAATTTTTCTTCCACACACTCAATTTTAGGAGGCACATGTATCTTCCATATAGACCTCAAATCAAAAAGTTGTCTTCCAATACACTTTTACCATACATCTTTTACTGATACATTTCAGAAGATACCATCTACAGTAATTCATAAAGCCTCTTTCCGAGCATATTGCGGCACTGACAGCCTTCTTTTTACGGATAGCCGCTTACTACATACATCGTCACCTACATCGAAAATTGCCACTTCGTTGAATTCAGCGCAACTGCCTAATTCAAGATCTGATTAAATGGAATGGAAGCGTGGAATATCAAGCGCACCGTCATCGTACTGATGGTGAGAGAAGGTGTCATCCACTATCCACTTTCCAAATCTCGAGGGGTCTTCTTACTTGAAGCATGCTACAGCATAAGCGTCAGCTGTGTTAACGCCTTCCTCAACACGCACTTGACAATGAATATTGCACCTCGTATTCGGACAAAAGTTTGAAAACCCTATACAAACTTTTGGGCTTGAAAAGATGGGCTTCGGTTCCACCTCTAACAATCGTCGCTGCCTAAACACCAACATCAACCTACTCATGAAAAGAGTCGAAGGGTCTAGAAAAGTCTAGCTCCAGATAGAGATAACCGGATATGGAGCCGTGCGGTAAACAGGGAGTTTTGAGAATAAATGTTTGAGCCTAGAAGCATATACCCTTGAGCAATGTCTAGAAGTATATATAATAGTATCACAATCATGTACTCATAGTTCTCTAGGAAAAATTGAGCAAATACATAGCAAATAATCAGCAAATACTATTTTCCAGTAGCATTGTCAGATCTATTTAAAGATGGAGTGCCAGAAAGAGCAGTTGCTTTATTATTTTATCGTGGCAATCGAACTTCTCATGTTTTCCACGATATATGTAGATGACAAGGCCTTGTCTTGAGGATGGGCAACGTTCTAAAGTAAAAAACTGATTATGATGATTCGATTGCATCAGTCGAAACTGAACGTCATGTAACCGTACTGGGAACCTGCTGAGGACAAGCAATCATTAGAACAGTTCATAAGCACATCAGGAAAACATGAACTCATGAAAAGGCTAGATGGGAGCCAGAAGACTGATTAGCCATACGCTCCGTTGAAAAGAAATTTTATGCTAGCTACTAATACGAGGGATGCCTTTTATATTTCGGGATTTGGAAACACTAGTGTAGCAATCTAGCAACTGACACCACTATCGTAAAGTTTGACTATTTTGAGATTACGTTGCAAAATTTGAGCGCGATTTGTGTTGTTTACACTAAGTTATAAGATTTTGTTTCGGCCAAGTTGTGGAGTTGAACCGTGGGCATTTTCGCGCGACATTTTTCGACGTGGACTAACTCAACAGCAATGCATGGATGAACTTGGTTCAATTTTTGGGGATGAAGCTCCATCCA